TTCTCAAGACCATCGGATCTTCTCACACGCTCCCCGTGTAGGGGCTGCAGGAGGTGGAGGGATGGTGCTCCTGCAGGCTGCTCCAGGGAAGGAGCTGGGGTGTGGGGCCAGAGCCCCTGCGAGGGAGTGCGTAGCCGGAAATCTGACGTTCACTTCTCCTCCCAGGATTTCAGGTGCAGTGCTTTCTACTAAAGGAGGAAAGCATGCCCTTAAGCCTCAGGACTTGTGGCTGTCTCTCTGGCCATTCAGCGCTATGGGGGATCATTGTGTCCTGGCAGAGTGGAATCGGGAACGGGAGGTCAGCCCCTGTGGATGACTCCTTCGCATTTTATCTGAAATATATTCTGCTGAGTACTGTTGTGTTCAAACGAGGCCAGTGATTTTTATGCATACGTGTCAAAATATACATGTGCCCACAAGGGGGCTTCACTTTCCTATTTTTAAGTACCAGATCTCTTTCTATACTAGTGTATATTTTATCTTGTTTTTACTTGATTTTGTTTGTCTTTGTGGGGCTAGTTATTGAACCCTGGGCCCCACAGATACGAGAAAAGCGCTGTACCATGGAGCTACACGACCTGGAGTTCTGTTTGTTTCTGATAAATGTCTCTAAAGAGAGCTTGAAAACTAGACACAGTGGAAGAACTAAGCCTGCCAAATCTGAAATCACAGGTCAAGGGGAATCAGACAGTAGGACAGTGGGTTCCGGACAGTTTCACATCCTCCTTATACAACTGACAACAGAAGTCTTGGTCTTTAAACCTTACAATTATAACTTGCATTAAATTGATTCATAGTTAGGTTTCTAAATCGCACCTATTTCCTCTGAAAGCTAAAGGTAAATTTTAAAAATATATTATTCTGGATTCAAATATCATGATTCATGTTTTTATTCTTTGAGCCATTATTTCTTGGGCTTTGAATTATTTTTATTTTTTAATGTATTTAGTTGTTGCAGCATCTCATTATGCAGTTTGGACTCATGGTGATCCTCCTGCTTTCAGCCTCCCCAGTGCTGGGATTACAGACGTGTGCTACGACCCCTGGACTCTGTGGCCCACTCAGCATGCCCTGGGGGTGGGGTTGGCACAGCATGTGGTGCTGGGGATCGAACCCCAGTCCCTGCACTTGCCTAAGCAGGCACTTTAGTCTACTGAGCTATTTTGCCGGCCCCTGAATTACTTTTAAATCTGAATTCAAGTTCAAGCTTGTTGTCACTTCCCACCACCCATCTGAAGTTTCTCTTACCAAGCACAGGGAACTAAATCAAACTTCCCCTAAAGTAGTGGGGCTGTTCATTGAACTAAATTTGATTTGAGCTGAAATGAAGACTTGCAAATGTCACCTTCTGCTTTGACTATTTTATTTTATTTACTTATTTTGAGACAGGGTCTTGCTATGTTGTTCAGGCTGGCTGTAAACTCACCATGTGGTTGAGGCTGGTCTCAAACTCACAGCAGTGCTCTTGGCATCCTCCTGCCTCAGCCTCGTGAGTGCTGGGATTATAGGCAAGCACAGCCACGCCTGGCCACCCCTCTCCTGCTTTGAGTGGCAGGTTTTCCATTTGCTTGGGAAGAGAGAAGAAGGGAAAAAGCAGTGGTCTGTCATAGAGTAACGCAGTGGAAAACACCCTTTGTCCGGATCGCCTATGCTCAGTATTGGAAAAAGTAAGTGCCCATGCTAGGAAAAAACAGCAGCACATTTCCTGCTCAGCTTGAGTTCCTAAAGAAATAAGAATAAAACATATAGATGGATTTGAAAATGTAAAAAGTGACCGACTAAAATGAATAGGCTAATACGTTGTTAAACTGGCCAACCAAATAGGCCGACTTATATATTTTATAGACAGAATAGACTTTTGATGGGTTAAATGAAAGCTAAAACTTCATAATTTGATACATTAATTTGGTTAGCATTTGTGGTAGCTGTTGAAGCATCGAAATCCTTGGAGCTCGGCACTGGAAACCTTCAGGGAGCTTATTCCAAATTACAAGATTAGGAACACTCATCCAGTACGGTCACTAAACAGATAAAGTACTCATCCCACCATGGACGCTTGGGATTAGGCAAAGTTGCAGTGTGTGTTATAGAATAATCTTACAGTAGTAACCATCCCGGGCTGGTGAGATGGCTCAGGGGTCTAAAGCACCTACTTAGAACAAGCTTAGCAAAGCATCAGGGACCGCGGTTCAATCCCCCAGCATCACATGCCAGCCAGCGCCACCCCCTGGTGGGCTGAGCTGGCCACACACAAAAATAAATAAATAAATAAATAAATAAATTTAAAAAAAAAATAACCATCTCAACAGAATATTACTTAAGTGATATTAGAAAGTCCCATCTAACGTGTGAGAGGCCTTGAGGTCAGTTCCCGGCACTCCAGCAAAACCCAGCCAAGCTCAGCACGCAGTGAAATGTAGTAATCCCGTTATTCCTGGTTTAGCAATGGGACAGTGAAGGCCCGCAGAAGGCAAGAAATGTGCTCGACGTTTGTGATGTAGCCAGTAAGTGGCAAAGCCGTGTCTTGGACGCAGTCACCAAATAAAAACGAGCGAATGTTCTTGAACAATCTGAAAATAATTTCAAAAGAAAAATGTGAGCAGTGCTCTTGGTATTGGCATGTGTTCTTCGGCACAGTTACGGCGAAACTTTGAAGAGTTTTACCCTCATTTGGGTGTGTGAGGTCTAATGTGTGTGCTGGGGGTACTTAGTTACGCACAATAACCTTGCGAGCGTAGCTGTTAACTTTGAAAAAGATGGATGATTCACAAAGCACGTTGTGTGTGTGTGTGTGTGAGTGCGTGTGTGCATGCGTGCATGCATTAGTGAAGCATTAAGA